CTTAACATGAAACAGTATTAGAATGAAAGATGAAGTGCATATGACTGTGCAGCTTCTTTGAACCATGGGTGAGAAGGTCCTTCAATGTAGGAATCAGTTGGAGAGAGAGAGAGAGAGAGAGAGACCTCCAATCAAGTGATCTCTAGCATGGGACAACATTCCCTGTTGTGAGATTTAACAGAACAGTGCCTAGTTCCCAAGTCGGCCATTAATTTCACATGGCCCCATATATCCACCCAACCCTGCAAACACAATTCCTCTTTTTCCTCTATATGTCTTTCCTATATTTTTTGTATTACCCTTCCTGTTTCAATCACTTTTCTTTCCATTTTTGTGGCCCTAAAACACATCCCCTTAAGACCAGTTCAAGGCACCCCCGAAAGCTTTTTCGCTATCCATTTTATGACCTACTTACTGCCTCTCGTAGCAATTACGATAGTTTTATTGAGGGTCAAGTTACACTTTATAAATGATAACTTAGAATTATTCGTGGTTGATCATAAATAATCCTTAACTTTGTAAAATTATTATTTTCGTGATTGATAATGATATAAAATTGATCGTTACTTTTTGAATGATTGAAGGGGTTGACTCTCGTTACTACATGTATTGTAGCATTAAATAAACCCACGTGAGATTGATAAGATAAGGCACGTGATGAGGACATCAACTACTCAGGCAAATGGGTCTAGCCGAACTGACCNGGGTCAAGTTACACTTTATAAATGATAACTTAGAATTATTCGTGGTTGATCATAAATAATCCTTAACTTTGTAAAATTATAATTTTCGTGATTGATAATGATATAAAATTGATCGTTACTTTTTGAATGATTGAAGCGGTTGGCTCTCATTACTACATGTATTGTAGCATTAAATAAACCCACGTGAGATTGATAAGACAAGGCACGTGATGAGGACATCAACTACTCAGGCAAATGGGTCTAGCCGAACTGACCAATGTGGTCGGCCAAGTGATAAAAGAGCTTAGTTTTTATTAAACCAAGCATATCAATGTGTTCGGCAAGCTTCAAAAGTACTCGACTCTCATTGTAATCGGGCTGTTTGAAACAAAAGATAGAAGGATAAAAATAAGCCTTTTAACATAGGTATTTTGAATGAATGAATTAACAAAATTACAGATGTCATGAGAAATTGTTGGAAAAATATCAGCAACTTTTCAAACTGAATCGTTGAATTAAAGGAAGGTGTGCCACTTTAAATCAAAAATCACGAAAACCCTAAGGAGATGACTATCTATAAAAAACGGAGGAAACCAAGGTGAAAGATACGCTGAACTCTCCTTCTCTTCGAGCAATTGCTTTAAACACCATTACTAACTAAANGGTTGAAACAGAAGATAGAAGGATAAAGATAAGCCTTTTAACACAGGTATTTTGAATGAATGAATTAACAAAATTACAGATGTCATGAGAAATTGTTGGAAAAATATCAGCAACTTTTCAAATTGAATCGTTGAATTAAAGGAAGGTGTGCCACTTTAAATCAAAAATCACGAAAACCCTAAGGAGATGACCATCTATAAAAAACGGAGGAAACCAAGGTGAAAGGTACGCTGAACTCTCCTTCTCTTCGAGCAATTGCTTTAAACACCATTACTAACTAAAGCATCGAAATGTCTTTGATCGAAACACTTAGATCTTGGACAGTTTGTTCGTTTTACAGAGAGAAGATCGGAAGATAAAGTTCAGAGATATTTCTTTTCAGAAAGATCACATCAAATTCCTTGTGAGAGGTATCAACAATTTTTTGACACTTACAATTATAGCTTAGACATTTAAAAATTATAACTTAGCACTTAATACAATACCAAAAGAGGTATCGTATTCGTTAATAACTCATCAGCAACCCAAGGCAATACACACAAAGAAAAGTAAGTCTAAGCCTGTCCAAACACACACAAAATAAATTCTAAAAAACATGGCCCTGCATTTAATGCTCCATGTTTCCACCTCTCTTGATTGTTTGCTGTTTATGTTCTGCGAACATATTCTTCACTCTTCAGACACAAGCCACCTTTGTATAAATAGAAATATTCAACAATTAAAATATTGCATTCTATATCCTCTATTTCAACCCCCAGCAACTAAAATATTGCATACTATATCTTCTATTTCAACCCTTGGCCACCTCTCTCTCTCTCTCTCTCTCTCTCTCCCCGCTTGGGAGCCTGTTGTCTTTCTTTTCTTTTCTTTCCAAGCTCTTAGCTTGAGATGGGCAGAAGACATTCAATACATATATGGTTGGTCTTCTGGTTTATCTTTTTGGTTGGTGATTCTCATGGCTCAAGGCACACACAATTTCTAAAGGTTAAGCCCCAGATTCACAATTTACCTACGAATTTTTCTGGGTTTTTGCCAAAAGCAGTGCCGATACCGCCTTCGGGTCCTTCAAAGAGGCACAATGACGTTGGCTTGAAAAGCTCTCAGCAGCAGTTTCCATGAAGATATACAATATGTTCGATAAACTGGTATTTCACTATTTCATATTGGTCTTCTCTCTCTCTTACTTATACAACAAAGATTGAAAGGTATTGTACATGAGTGGGTACTGAGTATTATTTTTGCGTATTGTTTGAGAACTTACTAGTGTGTATTTTGGAGATCTATAAAGGAAGTGGACATATTAGTGCAATGTGGGTAGTCTCTGGCTATTCCTTATGAAGAGAGGATAGTATGAAACATTCAAAACTGTATATGTAAATGTATGAAACCCAATAATTGTTCTTTTTGGGTCCTGCTGCTTTACCCTAAATGAGTGTTTAATGGTGATAGATTGACCAACTCTTTCTGTTTTTAAGATGAAGTTACCATCTAGTAGTATCATCCAAAGGAACCACTAGCTTTGGAACATTCTTTCTTTCAAAAATTCATTACGGAATGGTGTAGTCTGTGTTTGGCTCAAACTTCTATTGAACATTATGCGTACGAGCTAATGAAATGTTGATATAACAATTTGTACAATCAAAACTAGGAAGTGTGATATCATGTTTTGCTATTTGAACTTTATATGAACATGAGAGTTAAACTTTGTTAGGATAGGCCAAGTCCCTTCCAAGTTCTTTGCCGGCCAAACCCTTAATTTCAATCATGCTACCAAATTTGAAACTACTATTTGAGATAATTCTCTTTCTGGCTTTAAACTTCAACAAGTGAGACCAATGAAAGATGACATTGTTAAAAAAATAAGCATAAGGTCAAAGGTCGTTGGAATAATTGAAAATTTTAGTTTTTGGAGGAGGGAAATTCAAGGTGGTTTGGTGAAATTAAGAAGGTCAATGGCTTGATCATACAAGTTTTTCCGATATATACATATATTTATAATAACTTTTCATGCAACAATATTGCGTATCACATCAAATTAGGAAGAATCGTTTCAAAATTGCCTTTTAAACTTGTGTTTACTAAGTAATTTTTTTTGGGTAACTACTACACAAATTTTATATGCATACAATCATCTAAAAATTATACATATAGAATAAACCAAGGCTTTTTTACGAGAATATATCTGCAAGTGATCATTCATGGTACTGAGATATGAAATATTTTTTAGATATAATGCGTATGAACAATATATTGAAAGCTTTGAGATTAGGTCTAATTTGCACATCATAGTAGTGTTGGCTGCTTCTACCATTTAATCAAAGTGTGCAATTTCAAACAAATGCTCATGCAACACAACAAATAATTTGGTAACTTGGCCCAAAGACAGAGCCACACTGGGGCCGAGAGCCCCCCCCCCCCCCCCCCCCC